CTGCCCCTTCTCTGCTCACACTCTGTCTCTCTCTCTCTCAAAAATAAACATTAAAAAAATTGTTTTAAATCTATATTCTTGCATCCATCAGCGTGAAGGGACTTCACTTATCTTGTCTCCTGTGCCTCCCTCCATGAAGTGACTTCTCTCATCGGCTGGACAATACCAGATGTTGCACAGGTTACTCTACCTTTGGCCCCTATACCCACATGCCCTAGCAGGCCCCACTCCCCAAATAAGCATCCCCTGAGCAGTGCTAACCAGAGCCACAGGTGGGCCCGGAGGTGGGCCAGGGAGGACAGGAGGGCCCGTGAAGCAAAGAGGAGGAGGTGAGGGGCAGGAGGGGAAGAACTCCTTCAGGGTTATGATAAGTAATCCATCCTCCCCACTGGAGAGGCCTTGGGGCAGGGTAGGGGCAGGTTCCAGGGGACGAAAGGCCAGGGTCCCTGGAAAGGCAGATTGGAGAGGAAGCCTGGAGCAGAAGAGGAGAGGAAGCCTGGAGAGGAAGCTCCTGACCCTCAGGTGGCCCAGGAGTGGGGACTGCGGGAAGTGTCTTGTCTGAGCTGGTGGGTGAGCCTCTGGGGTTCAGTGGGGACCGCCCACTCCTCTGAAAGCCCTGGTCCATGGGAAGCCCGGCTCGCAGCGTTCACAGAGATCTCGCCTCCCACATCTCCTTGTGCTGCACCCCCGCCGACTCAGCTCTGACCCCCTCTTGCCCACAGCACTGCCCTCACACTTCCTGTATCCCCAGTGACAGGGACCTTGCTTACCGACAGAAAGCCAGGACACCCGCTCTGATGGCCAAATGGCATACATGCGGCCACCACAATGCAGCACACACACTGATTCCTTCCAAATTCTATATTCTGTGTGGGAAATCTCACTAAGATTTCTTGAATGAGTGAATGAATGACAGTAGGAAGGAAGGAAGGATGCTATAGTGGTGGGGGCAGGGGTTCTGGAGTTAAATGAGGCTGGGTTCAAATCCCAGCCCTACCAGTTACCTGCTCTGTGACCTTGGGCAAGTGACTCAATGTCTCTGAGCCTCAGTCTTCTGTTCTGTCAAATGGGAGCAATAATGCCTACCTTATGGAGTTATTTCGAGGCTTTGTGATGAGGAACACAGTACAGCTCCTTTGCACAGTGCAGACCACCATCCGTATTCACTTCATGCCAGGTAGCGCTCCCCAGGTTCATGGGCAGACTCTGCCACCTCCATCTGTCTGGCCACGGGCAATGTACTCCCTCCCCAGCTGAGGCTCTTGATCTGTAGAGTGAGGATCATACAGCTGGGAGTGTAAGGCATTCATGAAATCCTCTGTATAAAGCCCCTTAGCACCATGCCTTGTGGGTAACAAATTAGTTACTACAGGTCTGGAACCCCATAACCAAACCCTGGAGGTCAGATGTCATTCAGAATCCTGAATTTTTCAGATATAGAAATGTTAATATGTTGCCTGTACTGTGTATTATGCAATATTCTCCGCAGGGTCTGAGGTTACACCCAATAACAACACACTGGTATTTCTGCAAGGCAACACAATGTATGAATATCCACGCTGACTGGGACAGGAGCTCTTGCACTGAATGTATGAAAAGGCTTTTGATTTTCAGAGCTGGGGGATGGTTGGCATTGCATCTAGAGAGCCATGAACCTGTTATTGTCACCAGCCTCTCCATCGTTTTCCTTGAAACAGACCCTTTAGGATGAAGTACAAAGAAACAGTCGGGCCTGGGGTGAGGCCAGTCAGGCAGCATGGTGGCCGGCGATTGTGGTGGCCTCACCAGACCCTTCGGCTGTCCTCGAAGCCTCTTAAGGTTGATGGGAAAGTCCTAATTCTCCATCCCCAGCTGTTTGCTTTGCTTGGCACATCCTTCTCATTCTAGAAGCAATGGCTGGGGGAGGCTTAGGGCCAGCAGCGCGTGCTGAGGCTGAGAAGGACAGAAAGTGGATGAGGTTTCAAGTTTGCAGAAAAGACACAGTTTGTAGACGGAGAAGACTTTAACGAGCAAAGAGCAATGGGCAGGGAGCCAGATGCACGCGACTGTGCTTGGCTGGGGTCGGACTTTGCTCCTCCACATTCCACAGAATCGGCCCTGCCTCATCATCCGCTCCGAATCCAAAGGGATTCGAGGAAGAGAAGCTGTCGGAGCCACTGGGCAGGGTGGTGGGAGCGCCCTTTAGTGGTGGTCCTGGGCTCAATACACGCTAGCACAACTCCGGCCTGAGTTTGAATTCTGACCCTTCCATCTATGAGCTGGGTGCCCTTGGACAAGTTACCAAACCCCTCTGTGCCTCATCTGTACAACGGAGATAATAATAATCACACCTAATCGGTAAATGGAGCTAATAATCACACCTACCCGTCGAGTCGTTAGGTGTGCCTTGATCCACATAAACCACTGTCACGGCGACTGGTACGTAGTCATCACTCAGTAAACGTTACTAGTTACTCTAGCAGGTGCTCAATAAACACTTGTCAGTTGCTAACCATTAAGTGGCCAAGGCCAGATCTGAACCCAGAGCTCCTGCATTCAAATCCAGGCCTCTGAAAATCAAAATAAAAAAAAAAAATTAAGGGTGTTAAGGGTGCATATATTTAACAAGACTTTCTGAGGTGGAAGCTAGGGACTGAAGGGGTCTGTGTTGAGGAACAGCATGTCGAGAGGCCTGTGCTGGAGCCATTCTCAACTGAGGATGGCCCAGGGGCATGGGGCCCAACCCTGGAGTTCTGTGGACTTGGGCAGAGCTGGGCTTGGAGGCTTCCCCCGCCCCCTACCATTCCGGAAGGAGGAAGAGGCCAGTGCTGAGGGGAGGGCTAGGGATGGTGTCTTGCTGAGTGGGCTAAGCTCAGAGAGCTGGGCCCTGTCCTTCGGTGCCAGGGGTGGTTGACATGCACTGAGTGAGCTGGGAGGGGCCACACAGTGTCTGCTTATGTATCCACTGATCTGTGCTGAGCAGACCTGTTCACATCAGGACACAAAAGTGCTTGCTGGAAGCTTGGGGCCTTGCTTACTGACAAGATTCTGAAGATTCTGGCTTGGTGTTTTCAGCCAGAAACTTAACACACACGTGTGCACACACACACACACACACATAGGCACTCACACATCCACTCTATATATGCGTGTGGGATGCACAATTTTACAGTATCTGGAGCGGTTCATAGAATGTTCTTGAAAATATTTATTGGTGCAAGGGAGTAAACAGCCAGAGCTGAAAAGACAGAAAGGACTGTGGTAAGATTGAACACCCAACACCCACAACCACCTTCACCATCCCAAGCAGGTGACACATTCTGGGACATTCTGGCTTTTCCCATTTGTCTTCAAGTTGGGGGGAGCCCAAGAGAATGTGGCCAGCAGCGTGGATGCTCATCCACTCGAGTGGTGTTGTGATGCACCCCGCCAGTGAGGCAGGAGCTCTGCCTGGGCAATGCACAAGCTCATGAGTCCTCATCCTGGAAGAGTGTCAGGTTGTGCTTCCGGATGTGTTCCAGCAGCACCTGTCCTCGCCGCTCCAGGGTCTGGAGAACCTGCGTCAGTCCCAGTCTCCCGCCTTGGCTTTGCCAGAACACTGGGTCCATCTGCAGTGACTTGAGCAGCATATTCTGTAGACACCCTGATGCAAGAACCTTCACGACAGACTCAGGAAACCTGGAGGTCAGGTCCCCCGAGCCCCATAACAGAAAGGAAAAGCAAAAGTGATCTCAGAAAATTTCCATGACAGGTGAAGCCAGATGGCCAGAAATCGCACAGCTGGCAAACCCTGGCAAAGTCATCCTGCAAAGTCCCAGGGCCCACCTGCTGTCTCGTTATCAGGGAACCCTCCCGTCTACCTGCTGTGACAGCAGACAGGGGATAGAGCTTTAGGATGGATCCCACCCCACAGAGAAGCTGGGGGAGTCACCTCTGCTACTCCAGGAGAAATGCCTCCTGCTGTGCTTGGCAAATGCCAGAAAGAGTTCTAAGAAGGCTGAGCTACCTGTCATGAGTGGGCAGGAAAGGTAGGCTGCCCAGGCTAGCTCCTCCTCTGGGGCAAGGGAAGGGCTGGCTTCACCAGGCCCTAGCAGGCTGCCAGTGTTCTGCCGGGCCAGGAGGCCCTCTGGCTATTAGGGGTGGGGGTACTCCACCCAGAAGTTGAAGGGCCTGCTGGCTGGCTGTGTCCCCTCAGCTTTCCCAGGGCTCCCCACCCCCTCCTGAGGCTCAGATCCAATAGCCTTTGTCTAAAAGACTGCAGACTTCACAGGAGCCATGATTTAAGGCCCCACAGTCTACAGCAGGGCCATCAAGCCTCACTCTCCAAACCCCCGTCCCACCCCGCTGACCCTCACCCATCTATGCCCTCCAGCAGCCGAAAGTTCAGCTTGTCCTCGGGGTGTTGAAGGTTGCCGGCGTTATCGATGTAGACCAGATGGGATGGATCACTGCTCCGGACCTCAGGGAAGAAGATGGGCAGAGACAGAGGTGGGTAAGGTTGCGGCCTAGCTGGCGCCCTTGGGCTCTGTCGGGGTTGAGGGGCTCAGAAGGGGGGGACCCTGAGCTGACGGTCCCACAGTCCACCCTGCTACCTCATGGCCCCCACACGCTGAGCAGTAATCTTGCCATCTCAGTGAACCCTCCCAGCAACCTTAGAAGGGGAGCTAGCGTTAGCTCCATCAGGGGCACAAAGAAGTTAAGTAATTTGCACACAGTCACACAGCTGAGAAGCAGCTGGTTAGTTCCAACCCGGACCAGTGGTGCCAAGCCCCAGAGCCCCCTGTGAAACCACAAGGCAGAGGGGTTGATTCCTGTTCTGGTGGCTGAAGGGGTGAGGCGTGTGGGTGAGAACCGGCAGGTGCAGAGATGGCCTACCCAGTGGGGTTGTGGCTTCAGGGCACATCGCATACGTGCACGCTTACACATGCTCACGCGTCCTGAGCACCTGCACATTCCCCTGAGCATCACCAAGAACACACAACGCCTTCCGTTCCCAGGCAGCATACTCTAGCCCCACAGCAGAAGAGTTGAGCGACTCCTAAACGCTTTCAAAACTAAAACCGGCCAAAGGGAATTCTTTAACACTTCAAAAACATGGCGTGGCATATCTTCCACTCCCTACTCCCACCCCTGTGCACACACCCCATTCCTATATATTCTCCAGGATTCCATGGTGTTTTCCCATAATCCTCTCCATTAAACTCGGCTTAACATATGAACTCTTGCCTCCGGGATCCTAGCTTTTCCTCTTCTGTCTCTTCTCCCTCCTCACCCCTCTCCACACATCAGGGATCATCTATTTCTTAAAGCCCAATGACTCTTCCCTCCGAAAACTGCTGTCCTAAGGGATCTGTGAAATGGCTACCCCCAGGGGTAACTGATGGATATAAAAGCCTTACCTCATCCAGGGATAACTGCCTTTTACCAGGGAACAGGAGAGAGAGCTCTGAGGGCAGGAGATGGAGAATTCCTACCACCCAGCAGCTTCACGAGGCAGCCCTGGCCTCCTGGCTGGTGTGGCCTGCCTGAAGGTAGCCCAGGGCACCGTGCTGACAGCTACTCTCTCCAAAAGCAACTGGCCAAAGTAAGGCCTCGTGGATATTCAGCTCACTGGGTGGGGAGAAGGCGGAGGAGCCCTTCCAGAGGGTGGCCCCTCGCTCCTTGGACAGAAGAGACTGCTCTGCCATGGCAGTCCTGTCTCTGATGGCCTCTGCACATCGCTTCCCACCCTGGGCTCTACTTTTAACAGGAGGCAGCGCAGTGTTCCTCTGGTGAGCACCGGCCTGTGAGCTGTTGGGCCCTAGGAGGGAGCCCTCACTGCCGCTGACCAGCCATGCGGCCGTGGAAACGCCCTTCCCCGGGCCAGGCCACAGTTTCCACAGCTGCTGGCACAATGTGGGTGGCTGACTAGACACACAGTCCTCACACCTGCTTCTGGGAGCCCTAGGGGTTCCCTGTGGACTCTCAAGGGGACAGTGGAGTTGATGAAAACCCAGCCCCTGCACCATCCCCACCTCAACCACATTTGCAAAGTCCCACTTGGGTCAGTTTTCCATACTATGGCCTCTTGGAAACATAATTCAAACAAAGGCTTCTGCTAAAAAGAATAGGATTGGGAACCCCCCGTGTCACATGATCTCTGAAACTCATGAACTGAAGGAGGAGACATGAAAACCCGAGTCTGGGTGACAAGGGGACGTACCAGGATGTGGACCAGTCGCAGCTCGCCCGGGTTCTGGCATTTCTCCCGGAGCCCCTCTTCCACGCAGGGGTCTGACGGCTCGGGCTCAAAGCCGCAGCAGTAGCGGTCCAGGCGGTCATGGACCTATGAGGACATCCAGCCTCTGAGGGGGTGTGGCTCGATGCCTGCCTCCACCGAGCCCGGCACTCGGGCCGCCTGACCCCTGGGGCCTCACACTGGGGACAGTGGCTGTCGGTGCTGGTCAGCTCGTGGCTGGCCTCCAGATAGGGAGGGAGCTTCTGGTCTGCTCCTCCAGCCAGCTCGTCCTGCTGGCCGTGGGCCTGTCTGCTCACGCCTCAGCCCCGCCCGGATTTCCACTGATCCCCACTGCCGAATCTGTGTCACTGCCCCAAACTCTGGCCTAAGGCCACTGGGCCTCCCAGTGCTGACCATCTGTCAACCAGGGGAAATTCACACACAACTCCACTTTTTCCTTACGCGGCAAATGCGACAGCAGGGATTCCTCCTTTCTTTGGAGGTAAAAGCTGCAGCCCTTGTTAGGCCTGAGTCAAAGTCAGAGAAGGAGGAAGGCATTCCCCTTACAGGCTCCTTGTACACTGGAGGCCTCAAGGGGGAATCCTCAGGCATGGTGTGGGGACAGTTCTGAGGAGTTCTGCCTCCCAGCCCCTCCAGACACACATGGAGACACACATGACATTTTAGAGTGTCATAGAATTCGCACAACAATACATCCCACGCACCTGCTTCCAGTAGCTTTCTTCAGAAGGAAGGAGTTACAGCCTGCAAGTCAGGAATTAAACAGAAACACAGATACAGCCCAGCCCTGACCTACGTGAGGATGTTATCTACTGTGTGCATCCAATGCGAGGGGGTCCAGAAGGGAGAAGGCATCAAAATAGAAGTGGCAGAGTCCTCACAGGATGGGAGGGCGGGTCTTGCTGTAGGGAGAAAGACAGGAAAGGGATAGGTGGAAGCAGGAGGTGGTGTGGAAAAGGTTGGGATGTGCCAGGAAGTGGATTCCAAACAGGGTGAGTTTGGGGGCAGCAGGGGGCGTCACACAGTGGGCGAGCTGGAGGAGATGCACCCCTTTTCCTGCTGGGAAGGAAATTTGGCTGGATACAATACCTTGATGAGTGCTAACAACAGAAGGTGAGGTCTCCATAGGACTTGCTGTGCTTGGGACAAGAGGAAAAATCCATTTGTTGCTGCGGAAGGGGGAGGAGAGAGAGGAGGGGAAGAGAGAAGTGAAGCAGGGAGCTGCAGGAGGCTGAGGGTGTGAGACGTGCCCTTGTGCGAGGTATGTGAAACACGATCAGCTGCCTGGGATTTGTCTAAATCCTAGGAAGGTTACCAGATCCTCCCGGGTTGTGGGACCTGGGGTTTGAGTCCTTGTAAATCCCCAGGTGGTGTCAGGGTCGCAGGAGAGGGAGGGCCCAGGGACCCCTGGGCTCTCCCAATCAGGATGGTGACTCACACGGGTGCTAACTCTCAGGATGCAAAGGTAATCCGGTTCCTGAAAGAGCCTTGTGTGCGGCATGGAGACTCAGGCCCCCTTCTGCAGAATGGCTACACTAATTTAGAAAGCCTGGCAACACCACTGGAGAGGAAAGGTGCCAGCCTGGGAGTCTAGAAATCGGCTCCAGGTAACATACTGTGCTTGGGGCAACTGTCCAGACCAAGGCAACAGAAGGGATAGACTCAGCGTGGAGGTGAGTGAAAGTCAGGGCGAGGGAAGCAGAAAGCCAGATGGCACCACGCTGGTGAGGGGCCCCACAGAAAGAGAGGGCCTGCTCCCTCCCTCAATCCCCGGGAGCCTTCTGTGATTCCTCTCTAGCACACGGTTCAGCTCTGGCAGGATCAGGGCACCTCCCTCCCTGCAGTGGTGATGATGCAGAACAGCCACAGACTTACAGCAAAGGCAGCAGTGGTTTTAGTCTGATAAAGCAACGATGGCGTCTCTCCCTCAGAGATGATGATGATGTGGTGTAATAAGAGATGTATTTGGTCTCTGTGCCCTGATCCTAGCACAGAGCTCCTAAAACTTTTGGAGTTTCCTGAGTGATTTATAATGAGCCCCTTTGAGCACACCTGAGTTTATGCTAATGAGATGACTCAGGGGAGTCCCAGATAGCTTCAGAATGGGGGTTGGTCACCAGAAGACAAGTGAACAGAGGATAGGACCTTTAGCCCCATCTCTAACCTCCAGGAAGGATAGGAGAGCTGGAGATCGGGTGATAAACACTTGAACAACGAGATTTGGAGCACTTCCTGGTCGGTGAGCACATTCGTATCAGGAGGGTGGCACACCCCAGCTCCATCGGGACATAAGCTCCTGTGCTTGGGACCCTTCTGGGCCTCACCCCACATACCTCTTCATCTGGCTGTTCATTTGTATCCTTTAAAATAAACCAGTAAATGTAAGTAAAGTGTTTTTCCAAGCTCTGTGAGCCATTCTAGCAAATGATCAAACCTGAGGAGGGAGTCATGAGAACCCTTGATTTATAGCCAGTTGGTCAGAAGTGTGGGTAGCCCAGGACTTCTGACTGGTGTCTGAAGTGGAACAGTCCTGTAGGACTGAACCCTTTAACTTGTGGGATATGACACTCCAGGCAGATAGTGTCAGAATGGAATTGTGGGACACCCAGTGGGCGGTGGAGAACTGGTGTCCAAACGAAATATCACTGGGGAGCCTGGATGGCTCAGTCGGTTGGGCATCTGACTCTTGGTTTTGGCTCAGGTCATGATCTCACAGTCCGTGGGAGTCCGTGTTGCACCTTGTACTGATGGCGCGGAGCCTGCTTGGGATTCTCTCTCTCTCTCTGTCCCTCCCCAGCTCTCTGTCTCTAAACAAACAAACATAAAAAAAATAATAAAGTAACCTATTAAAAAAAGCCAAAACACTCAGACGACCACTGCCACTGTCACTGCCACCCACCTCTAGCTCATTCACTCCTCACTGCAGCTTTGCAAGGGAGACACCGTTATCCCACTTTACCCAGGGGGACGCTGACCCCAGACACAGGAAGGCCATAAATGTAAAAAGTAATATAGATTGGACTTGAACCAGGTTCTGCCTGGCTTGAAGCCCAGCCCTCTGTGTTATCCTGCCCTGCCTCCCTGAAGATCAGGAAGAGTGAGCCAGTTATAGAGGTCAAATGAGGTCTCCATCATTACTTTTCATGGGATTAATTAATTTGGTCTTACCCTTGCTAGAGAACAGCTTTCAACGTTTATTTATTTTTGGGACAGAGAGAGACAGAGCATGAACAGGGGAGGGGCAGAGAGAGGGAGACATAGAATCGGAAACAGGCTCCAGGCTCTGAGCCATCAGCCCAGAGCCTGACGCGGGGCTCGAACTCACGGACCGCGAGATCGTGACCTGGCTGAAGCCAGACGCTTAACCGACTGCGCCACCCAGGCGCCCCGAGAACAGCTTTCAAAACTATGAAGGAGGAAGAGGAAGAACGAGGAGACACAGAGCCCACCATCCTCCATGACGACAACAACTGAGGCAGCAGCAGGCATGGTGGTGTTTGGATGGCCCGTGTCTCTCTTCTGTGGTTCGCTGCTCAGCCAACCAGAGCCAGCACGGCCATCCTGCGTCCCTCTGCCCATGGCAGCTGCCCCTTCCCATAAATGGGGGTAAGCGGGACAATGTCACCTCCAGGATGTAGTACTCGTCGAAGCCACCTCCCAGGCCACCCAGCCCAGCCCAGTGCCGGCCAGTAAAAGGTCCTGTGTGCGGACCTTTGATTATTTCCATATCCCTTTGTAGGAAAACTCACATATATTCTGAAGAAATACAAAATTGATCTCTTTCGACACAAACAAGAAAATAACTATGGCTCAGTAAGCCTCACAAAACCAGATGTCCAGAAACGGGAGTGTTAAACAGTCCCAACCTCTGTCCCAAAACATTGTCTGTTTTGCAATAGTTCAAGATGGAGAAGTTGCATGTCAGACCTAGACCATCGCCCCAACAGGTTGAGGTCAATTCTGTGAGGCCAGGTTAGGTAGGATTTCCAGGGCCAGCGGGCCAAAGACACCCACAGGCACTACTGAAAAAGACAAGTTTAGCCTAGAGACCAACGCACAAAGCCCTGGTCCAGCTTGGCCAGGGTGGAAACAACCCTCACCCTGTTCGTGAAGTGAGCGCATTAACAAGACCCCTGACATGGACCATCACTGCTTTGGCTGCCTGGGCTTTGGATAACAGCAGCCACAAGTAACAGAAACACCTGATTCAAAACGCCTTCAACCATAAGGAAAGTTAGGATCATCTGTGGCAACAAGTCCCAAGATAGGGCAGGCTGGAGACTTAGCAGCTCCTTATTGACATAGTAAGGACTCGGGTTTCTTTCTGCTCTCCACTCACCACCCCCAATATTAACAGCCCAGCATAGTCTTTGGAAGCCTACAGGTGGCCACTGTGGGTATGTGTTTCCTTGTACATGTCCAGAGAGAACGAGAGGGTGGGGGAGAGGATGAATGAGAGAAACAGAGACAGAGAGACAGAGGGGAAATGAACCTCTCCTCCAGCAACCTTCCCTTCAGCCTGACTGGACCAAATCAGGTAACACGCTCACTCCTGGACCAGTAGTGGTCAGTGGAAGATGGTGACGCACTGATCCCCAAGCCCAGGACTGGGTGGGAGGTGAATCACGACAGGGCTCTGTGTGGAAATCTTTAGCTGCAGTGTCCTCACTCCAGCTGCGAGTGAAAGTGTTGATCAGGACAGGGCTGAGGAAGGAGCCCTACAGCTAGCCACCAGAGACCTCTCAGCCTTCCAACTGGTTTTAAACCCACTTGAAGCTTGTATCATGCCCTCTCCTCCACTATGCCCTAGCTATTTGACCTGAGGTAGTTATTTAACCTCGAAACCCCTGAGTTTTCTCATCAACAAAATGGGGCGGGGATACTCCCATGGGACTGCCCTGAGGCTCACGTAGGGTAACGATACATGTAAAGCATGGGGTGGTTGTTGTGGAAGAACCTTCTGTTGTGTCTGTCCTGGGAGCGGCAGGCCCAAAGACCCCCAGGAATCTCAGGGGTTCCCCTACCCACACACACACCAGGAAGCCCCAGCCTCACCCAGTGGCACAGGCCAGAGACCCAGAGTTTGA